TTCGGTGGGTGGGGTCCTCCGAGAGGCGTAAGTCTCCCCAACTCCGGAGCGCTTTTCTTCCTTCTGGTTCCAAATGTGCCCGCGGTTGCGCTGGCAGGTATGGCAGGGCGGCTACTTGTGCGCAACAGTGATATCCCAAAACCTCTGACATAGTTCGGACACTGCCTTTAAAATCGTCAGATATTCGTTACTGGGACACTATCACGATGTGTTTTACCCATTAATATTTCGGAATTTCGACTTCATAAAAAACTTCTAGTTGCCCTTGAAAAAGGGAGATCTATGGGAAGGTGCTTGCCATTGGCCGTGTTCGACGGTCATCGGTGGTCGCCCCGTACGGCGAGGATCCTTGAGAATTGAAGGGGCCTGCGAAATACGCTGCATATTTATTGTTCTAAGGCCCGAAATCGGTTTTACACTGTTCTAAATGCATATCTTGGCTTCTTTTATTGGTATACTTGACCATATGAAATCTTTTGATATTATGTACACGTTTAGGATAGCTCACTCATCCCAGTGTTAGTAGACTATGGTTTCGCCTTTCACCATACACAATCGGATTATCTGGTAATGACAAAGTGGCTTCCAAATACTCCATCTACTATCCCTAGGTTGTCAAATTAGTTTTGGTCCCTTTTGCAGGTCGTTAACATCACGTAATGCAGATATGCACACACTATGATTGGTGTTGGCGGATTAGTTATCGACAGCAATGATAGAATACTTCTGATGAAGGAAAAGCGTGGGTACGTTGTTTGCCTATACGCATTCAATGCTGTTATATAATAGTTCATCAATGTAGTCGTTATCTCGGCTGGAAGTTTCCTGGAGGCGCTTCAGACCCGAATGAAAGCATATTTGACACAGCTGCTCGGGAAGTTTTGGAAGAAACCGGGGTGACCGCAGTTGGAAAGGCGTTGTTGTGCTTCAGGTGAGATTCAAAGCTATCGTTTTTATGAATTCGAATTCGAAATCTTTGTGCCTTATCCGGTTCAGACAAGTTCAAGTGTCTCAGTTTGAAAATGTTGGAGATATATATTTTATTTGCTTAATGGATGCAGTAGACCTAGCGATAAGACCTTGTCCATCAGAGACAGCCGATTGCAAGTGGTTCACTAGGTGCGTTGCAGGCTTCTCTTTATTTCATTTATTGCATTTTTTGTGTTTGTTCAGGGAGCAGATAGCGACCTTGTCTGAGTCAGAATTCCACGAATTCAACCGCGAAGTGCTAAATCGATATGATGTATGGAAAGCTGCTGGGCGGCGCGGATGTCACATCGCTAATTGCCAATTCACAGGCAGAAAATGTCATATGTTTTATATTGAGTAGTGTCTTCGGATATTGTGTGTAAAGATCAGATTATCGCTGTAGAAGAAGTTTCGATATTGGCGATTCATTTTGTTCGCTGAAATTTCAAAGGCTCTGTCAGAGTTTGGCCTGAGGATCTTGTAGCCATTGCTATATATTCGTGATGCTGCCCGCGCCGGTGCAGCCGAATCATGTCATGAAGGCTCACGGACAAAACAAAAGTTTCAAGTTACTGGCAACATCATGAAAGTATTGATGGAGT